AAACTATAGATTATAATTCAAAGTTTAGTACTATACATTACTCAATTTCTTAATTTTAAAGTAAATATTAAAAAACACTGATAAACATTGATTTCTGTTTGTCACGTGGTATGGTGAATGCAGCACTGGTTTAAATTAGATGTCTGTGAAGTCAAAATACTAAGTCTATAGTTTCATACAAATTAGAAACTCAAACTACTGATATAGACAAGCTAGAATATAAAATAAGAATGTCGTATTATTTCTCTTTGCTAAGATATTGCTCATGTAATAAATCAAATACAGTGGTACCATGCCCACCTCTTGGAAACGGTCCCTTATATACATTTACTTCTATGTATGACATGAATAACCAATCAGAACCTCAAGGTGCCCTTCTAGTGGCTTTCTAAGCCATTTTAATGGGCATGGATGCTATTTCTTTCTTTTGAACCAATATTTCAATGGGGTAGTGCGTGTCTTTAGTCTGCTCAAAATTTCATATTTTTTTTAGACTAAAATACACCTTAGTTACTAAACTTGATAAATTGTAGTGGGATTCTATGGTATTGATGTAGTAACTTATGATTTTTTAGTTATTCAAATGGATATATATAAAACCTAAAAAAAATTTTGCAACCTACATCAAGCAGCAACCGAGCACAAAGGTTGTAACTAGAACAGATAATTGTTTGCTTTACTTCTTTATTTACTGTTCTATGTTTTAAGAAAAATAAGTTTAAGAACTTATTTCAAAATAACAATAATCTATATAAATATATAATGTATAATAACTGAAATGTGACTGTATTTTACAAAATACTAGTCAACTAAAACACAGCCAAGACAAGATACTTTGTACAGACCAAAGGTCAGTTTTATGTTATTTGATATGGTAACATGAGTGCACTTGTACCACTTCATTGTAACTACTGTATTGTTAGCCAGGCACGGGTGAAGCTCAATATGATAGAAATAATAAATATATATAAATGTATAATCTTATGAGATTTAAGCTATTTCGTCTAAACATTTATGTTTTTATGTTATTATTTGTGTTCACTTTAGAATGAAAGGGGCATAATTTATATTTATTTCCTGTTTTTTATGGTGGTTACGAGATCGATCAAACCTACCAAACCCATACATGGATTCATTATTGACAATAACAGATAAAATATAGTTTTTTTCTTAAGAAACATTTGATAACTATCTGGATATTATAAAAATTTCGCATGTGAAATTTTAAAATTTTCTGCTGCATAAAAGTATTTTTAATATTAAAATGAAAATTATTTTGCATGTTAGATAGGCAACATGCAAAAAAGAAAAAAAGTCAAGAGAAAAA